AGGAGCCCTTCCTCTCCTGACAGCAGCATTTCAAACCTATTTGGGCTCTCCTTAAAAAAAAAAAAGCAATTTGCTGCAGCTGCTCTGTGACTGCCTGGAACCTGAGTGGACCCATCACTTTAAAAAGACTAATGCCTTTAGTCCTCCCACCTCAGATGGTACAAAGCCTGGGTCTTTATATATTCATTTACTACATTTTTATCGCACCCTTCTTTCAAGGAGATCTGGGTGGTGTATGTAATTCTCCTCTCCTCAATTTTATCTGCACAACAACCCTGTGAGATAGGTTAGGCTGAGAGAACGCTTCTGGCTTAAGGTTGCTTAGTGAGCTTTGAACCCAGCTCTTCTAGATCCTACTTTGGCCTTCTAACCATTACACCACACTGCCTCTTAGCAATCACTTGTGACTATTTTCCTTTAAAATTGCTATACTGTCCTGTCCACTCACCCCTTTCTAGAACTCATGGCCTCGGGGGGGGGGGGCAGTTCTGAGGAGCAAAGCAGTGCCAAAGTGGAATGTTTTAAATTCCCACCCACCCACCCCGCACCTGCAACCTTGATCCAAACTAGAACCATGTTTGCCTGACATTTACTTTAAAAAGATGCTGGGAGATCTTTCATCTTCCCTAGTTTGACCCTTAAATAAGTGTTCCCTAAAGGGGCTTCTGTTTTGAGAGGGCGACTGCACCTTTAAAGCTGCTCAGCTGAGGCTTCTGGAGAGCATTTGGCTTCTGTTGGTGAGTGAATATTGGGTGGGACTGCAGGAGAAGAGCATGCTTTTTGCCCCCACACACCCTGAGTGCTCTGGGGAAATTTACTCTTCAAACTGCTCAGTTTAGGGTGTGTGTGTGTGGGGGGGGGGTTCCCAGAGGGCCCCTGCCCAGCTATCCCCCACCCCAGGCCATACAGCTATTTAGGCTGGAATTGCCCTGATTTGCTTATGCTGTTCTTGAGGTGGGTCCAGATAAGGCCATCGGCATTGCACATGGTCACACGCTTCCCTGTTTTCTGTCATATTTTTCTAAGATTCAATTTTGTGGTCATTTTCCCACTTACAGCACATCAGCACCAACAAGTTGTTCTGTCTGGATGGAGGATGCCCAGAACTACTGGCCATTTGCTTCTGTTTCTCTTCCTAATTAATTGACTTCTTTCTTTGCTTGAGTCATTAATCCTCTTCTGGGTTCTTGATCTGTGTGTGTGTGGGGGGGTAGATTTGTGTTTGCAGCCAGAGGGATTAATTAATTGTGGGGGTGTTTTTACAGCAGGACTGTGATTTTGTAATCATGCAAGTAGGGTCCTAAAAATATTTTTATTCATTAATCCCTCTGGCTATAGAGACAAAAGTTGTAATTAAATTCCTTCCTCCCCAAATCCATCTTGGGTCTCAGTGAGACAGGTGGACTGTGAATAACATAAATAAAAATAATTTAAACCCCCTTAAGAACTAATTAAAGATCCATTTAAGAATATTTTTGAAGACGGAGTAGAAGAAAGTAATTAAATATTTTAAAAGGCTCTTGCCTGGTGCAGTTGCCAATAACAATGACGAAATCAGGGAGAAAAGAATGGATGCCAATTGCTGTGTGAGCCCCATTGTCAAATCACAGCAATACCGGGAATTATGTTTTGTTGGCTTTTTGATTTCCCAGCAGCCCTATGCAACAAGAAAAAAACTGCTGTTCAGAGATGCTTTGTTTCTGTGTATGGTGTATATAGCCATTGTGGCTAGTAGTTATGGATCTGTGAACTCATCCAATCAATTTTCAAAGCCATCTGTTGCCAGATTTGCAGCAGTGAGTTCCATAAACTAGCTTACGCATCATACATAAAGTTTCCCCCCTCCCCCTGTCTGTTTCAAGTCACAGTCAATCAGTTTTGAGGGTTTGAGCCACATTCCAACTAACAGCAGATTATCTGGGTATCCTATTGAAGGGCTCACAGACAAAAATTCCCGGAAGGACGAGTGGCTCCCATAACGTGTGGTTCTCTTCGTGTTGTTCCTCTCTAGGTCTCTGTGGAGATCGACGTGAGCAAGCCGGACCTCACCGCAGCCTTGAAGGAGATCCGTACTCAATATGAAGTCCTGTCTGCCCGAAACCAGCAGTCCGCTGAGGAGTGGTACAAATCCAAGTTTGCCAATTTCACCGAGGAAGCGGCCCGCAGCAGCGACAGCATCCGCCAGGCCAAGGAGGAGATCTCGGAGTACCGCCGCCAGCTGCAGGCCCGCAGCATCGAGATGGAGGCCCTGCGCAGTGCCAACGAGTCCCTGGAGAGGCAGCTGCAGGAGGTGGAGGAGAGGAACAGCGAGGAGATCCGTAACATGCAGGTGGGAGCTTCTCGGTGGCTGGGCGTGTCATTAAAGAGGAAAGGCAGGCTGCGGGCTCTGAGGGCTCGACGGGTGTGGATGGAGGCTGGTGAAGGTTCGGAAGCCCCAGGGTCTTTACCCCTCAGCAGCATTTGCAGAATCAGAATGAATTTCACAAGGCGGTAGTACGCACACAAGAAATGATAGCAAACAAGAGACAGACTAAACTCGTTGGTGGCTACAGGCCCATCTTGTGGCTGCCACTGCCATTTTAGAGGCACTAATGGTTTTATTAAAAATTGCTGTGCGGCCCCAATCCAGATCAGGCTTATTTATTTATTTATTTGATTTATACCCCGCCCTCCCCGCCGCAGCAGGCTCAGGATGGCTTACATAAAACACCGTAGCTGTGCTGCCCCCAGCCAGCATTTCACTGTAGTTAAGTAAAACTGCCATGTATCTTTAAGAGCAGTCGCCCCTGGGAATTGAAGTCTTTTGTCAGACATCCAAAAGCATTCCTGTGACTGGCTGATCGACAGTCATTTCCTGCACCCAGGTGCGTGGGGATTTGAGTTTTACAACCTTCTTCCCATTCCTTTGTCTACGCTTTAAACGGCAAGGAGGTCGGAGCATGCAATCTTTTTCACCCTGAGCCAGAGAACTGAATTAGATTACAAAGATGATTAGATTTCAACAGTTATGCAGCTTCAATGTGAGTCCAGAAGGCGTTGTTGACTCAGCGTCAGATGGAATAGTAGCTTAAAAGCACAACATACGGTGCTAGTAAACAATTTAAATGGTGGTGGCGAAAGCAGAGTAGCATCAACATTCTAGTAAATGTTGTTGGTATTTGATGTTAGAATAGGTGAATCTCAGGCTGTCGGTGGTGGTATTGGGCAAAGGGCCTTAGTGTGTTGGGTGCGGCTCCTTAACTAAAGGCCTGGTGGAAGAGCTCTGTCTTGCAGGCCCTGTGAAACTCTCAAAAGTCCCACAGGGCCCTAAGGTCTTCCGGGACCTCATTCCACCAGCGCGGATGCCACTGAAAAGGCCCTGGCCCTAGTTGATGCCAGCCTGACGTATTCGGGGCCAAAAAGGGCCAAACGGTTTTGGGATTCTGACCGCAGTGCTCTCTGGGGAACATATGGGGAAAGGCAGTCCCTCAGGTAGGTAGGCCCCTGGCCATAAAGGGCTTTAAAGGTAAGCACCAGCACCCTGAAGCAAATCCGGTATGTTATAGGCAGCCAGTGCAGTGCTTATAGCGCAGGCTGAATGTGCTCCCGCATGGGGTGACCCAACAACAGCCTGGCTGCTGCATTCTGCATCAGCTGAAGCCTCCGGATTTGGGACAAGGGCATCCCCATGTAGAGAGTGTTACAGTAGTCTAGCCTTGAGGTGACCATTGCATGGATCACTGTCGCCAAGTCATGTTCAAGGAAGTGAACCAACTGCCTAATCAGCCGAAGATGATGAAAGGCTGACTTAGCAGTGGCTGCTACCTGGGCCTCCATCATTAAGGAGGCATCCAGGAGCACTCCTAGACTCCTAACCTCTAACACCGGCACCAAGGGTACACCGTCTAAAGTTGGGGGTGGGATCCCTACCCCTGAGCCACCCCGACTCAGGCACAGGACCTCCGTCTTCATTGGATTCAATTTCATTCGGCTCAATCTAAGCCAACCAGCCACGCCCTGTAACAATCCAGTGGTCCCAAGAGCTCTTGCGTCGTTGTCCCCCGCCGCTGTACTTTTTCATGTGCTGAAGCAGCCATGAGGGGCTGATCCTGCACCTGAGAGGGTGCCGAGGAGGGGGGGGACAAGAGTTCCTAGGGCTGTGCTGCCCTGCATGCCTGATCTGGATCAGGGCCTTGCAGCAATTGGTTGATTGGTTTGGGAAATGGTGACAGAGAGAAGGACCAACGACCAGTCCTCAACCAGTCCTATTTCTTGAGGTAGATCCCTGATAAGGAAATTACCAAAGTGGGACGTCCTGCCCTCAGCCCCCTGAGAGAGACAGTAGAAGTAAGAAACCTCAGGTACGCTCTCCTGGATGCTGCCCTGATCCAGTGGCCGCCCCCCCCCCCCCCCCCCCGGCTGCATTTCATTAAGAAGAACCCGCCAGACCTCCTGTGTTCCGTGTTACATCACTCTTATGCAATGATGCCTTTTCAGGAGACTATAAACCAGCTTGAAAATGCCCTGAGGACGACCAAGGGAGAGATGGCGCGCCACCTCCGGGAGTACCAGGATCTGCTGAATGTGAAGATGGCCCTGGATATTGAAATAGCAGCCTATAGGTGAGGGCTGCTGGGAAGCTGCCTCCTCTCGTGCATGGCCTGTGGTGGGAGACGGCCTTGCGACGTATAAGTAATGAAATGCTTTGTGCTGTTAGGTTTAGGAGTTGGGTATTGGGAAGGCCGATCCAGACGGCACCACCTTCCTCCTTGCTGATCGACGCGGGCACAATCCGCTGGGAGGATCTGCTCTAGCCTTGTGAAAACGAAGAGCTAGGTTGAACCCTTTTCCACGGCATGCCGGGGAAATGTTGGCATGGCAGAGCTACCATGGAGCAGTGGCTAGGTTCTGATTTTTGCTTAAGGTGATAGCCGTATGAGCAGTACTAAATAGATAGAGCAAGCAGTGGCTAGAGCGTGCGGCTGGGACCAGGAAGACCCAGGTTCTGCCACACATTTTGGGTCCTTGGACCACTCACTCTGCCAACTGCACCTACCTAACAAGACTGTTGTGAAGGACATAGGGCTGCATACCCTGTATTCTGCCTTGGGCTCCTCAGTGAATAGGGCAGGGTACAAACCAGATCAGTGTACCTTTTTTTGATAGGGGGGGATCACAGAAAGCAGACCCCCCTCCCACCTGCAGCCTTGGACAATTCAGTCCAGGAAAAGCTTCACTGCTAACAGTGGAATTTGATGTCTGGTTACATGAGGGGGGATCCTAGTCTGGACCAAACAGCCATGTGCTGGTTTGGGGAAATGTCCTTGCTTTCCCCAGCCAGATGCTTTTCTTGCTTCATGCCCAAAAGTGTGCTCCAGCTGGGAGAAATGCAGCAGCAACAGCCAGGGAAAGAATAAGCCCTTCTTTCCCAGATGCTGCCTGTCCAGCAAATTGCAACCTCCTGTTGGTGGCTTTTGCCATAACTGGGATTTCAGGACCTGTGAACCAACCTGGTTGACATTTCATGATGACGTTGGCTGGCTTTCCAGAATGCCAGCGGTGGCCACTGGAAAGCTTGCTGAAGTCCTTTTAACCATCTTGGGTGACGCTGTTGTTTTCATTTTCCCTTTAGAAAACTGCTGGAAGGAGAGGAGACCCGGCTGAGCACGGTCACCAGCAGCAGCACATTCGGCCTCAGCTATCCTTTCTCCTCAAGCCCCTTGTCCAGCTTCAAGGGCTTCTCGAGCAGCTTGGTTACTGTCAGGAAGGAGGAGAAGGGGGATGGCCCCGAGGAAGCCAAGGCCTCAAGGGAACCGAAGACTGCGGAGGAGGAGGAGGAGGAAGAGGAGTCTGGAGATGAGAAGGTGGGCAAAGCGATGCCCACAAAGTAGACTGGCTGGAAGCATCTTCAGAATTCCTCATGAGGGAGAAGAAGAAGAAGAGTTTATTCACTTTTCACCCCAGGCTCTTTCTCACAGTCGATTTTTCAGACATGGGATGGCACTTGGGAGATGTCTGCATAAACATCAGAAATCACACACACACACACGAACACACACACCCCAGCAGCTCAGTTTCCAGGTATATTAGGGACTTGGGTGCATGCTGCGTTCCAGGGTGCAGGGTTTTAGGGCAGGTGTACTAAATACGTAGATGACTGGGCCCCTTAGCCTTGGAAGTCTCCCCAGGTCTGAAACACTTGATGTGAAATGTGGCTTTCAAAGAGGAAGCCTGTCTGAGGGATCCAGTGCTGGGGTTGCGTTCGAGAGAACTCTTCTTCGTCTCTCTTTCTCCTCCAAACCATTTGTCTTGTTAGAGTGTAAACTTGAGAGTCCTCAGTCACTGCCCTGTTTGCAGCTGGTCCTCAAACTCTGTTTGCTACTGTAAAGATTTTAATACTTTACAATTATCCAGCCCCTTCAGTAAAATACTTTTTTAAAAAAAACTTAAAGCAGAAATGGAATGGTGAAAGAGTCCCCGGGAGCTTCTGCACCAAGAATCCTACCCATGTATTTATTTATTTGCTTCCTTTGTGGTCTGTCTTTCTGGCTGAGACTCTGGGCAGGCGGCTCCTCCAAACCCTGTGATTTCCAGCCTAGGAGCGGGGTGACACAAGAATCACGTCCCATTGCTGCTTCTAATCAGCAAACCTTCAAGTGAATCTACTGGTGTTAGAACATCCACAGCAATGGTTTTGCTGACCTCGTTTGAGTTGGAGCACAACTAACCAGCCCCATAGCCAAAAAAAATTGGGGGGGGGGCGTCAGGCCCCTGATGTGGTTGATGTTACTTGTGATGTCACCCAGAAGAGACTCTCCTTCTCCATTTGTGAAGGAGCCTCCTGCACCCTGGGAACAGAGAGGAGAAGGGAGAGCCAACCAGGCAGGCAGACAGGCAGGGCTGCAGGCAGCGAACAGAAAGAGGCCTCCTCGGCTCGCCCAGCAGCAGCATGGTGTCTGGACAGTCTGGCGTGGGTACAGTGAGGCATCAGGGTGGGCCATTCTCTAATAGCCAGCCAGCCCAGGCACCACACTGCTGCGGAGAGAGCCAAGGAGATCCATTCTCTATGCCTCGTGCGTCGGGGAGGCGAGCTAGTGATGTCGCTCACTCTCACTCTGAGGAGTAAGAGGAGCAGAACCACTAGCTCGCTGCTGCAAGAGGCATAGAGAATGGCCCACCCTGGCACCTCACTGCACCTGTGCCTCACTGCTTCTCGCCAGCTCTTCCTGCTGTAGCCAAGCAGGAAGAGCTGGCGAGGCCAGTGTGGGCAGGATAAGGAGCACTGCAAACCAGGAGTAGATGGGGGGGGGGAGTCTGGCATCCTCCATGGGTGTGCAGGCTCATATGTGGGGGGGCCACCCCCCAAAAAAGCCCTTTGGCTCCGGGTCTGCATTTGACCCTAACAGATGTTTTCCCCTTTTTCCGAAGGCCTAAACATCTGTTTCCATGCATTGATTCACACAAGAACAACTGGTGCTTTTGTAGTTCCTTGTTTTATTTTTTAAAAATGCAGAGGGATAGCTTCTGTAGTAATTTCAGTGGGAAGCTAAAGTACTCAGAAGAAGGAGTGAACAGAAAATAATGTTGATCATTTGCAGAACATCTGTAGAACTTCCATGTTTCCATCAGTGTCTTCAGTCCCTTACCTGTGACCAGTCTCAGGGCCAAACTGCACATTGGGAGTAAGCCTAAGATGATGGTCTCAGAAGTAAAGCCCATTTTATTCAGTGGGACTTATTTCCAGGAAAGTTTTCTAAGGATTGTAACCATAGTTACTCAACCATCTATTGCCTTTTCAACCCTTCCATTTCCCTGTTTGTTGTGTGTTTACCATTGGGGGGGTCATCTTATATTCAGGGTCATCTTCATTTTGAGTAAATAATATCCCCCCCCCCCAGTTTCAAATGTAAGTTTGCTTGCAGTTTGGCCCTAAGAACATGGTTTCCTCCACACATCATTAGATATTCTGCTCTCATCACATTATAGCTGTTTTTCACAACTGGGTTGGCTTGTTCAAAGGACGGCCATAGCACACCGATCGTCAGATAGTCAAAGATGTGTGAGTGGAGAACCTAGAGTAGACAGTGTGTATTGCAGAATTAGTAGGAAGATTTAGCTGGTTATTTTGAATGTACAGCCAACAATGGCTGATCCTCAAGGGTTACAGGGCCTTCAAGACAGGTTGAGGTGTTTGGATATTGGAGAGTGGTTCAGCTGTTTTGAAATTCTCCCAGTCAAGTTTTTCTCAATTCAAATAATGCAAAAAAAATTAATCCAAGTGTGAAGTATACCTGGAGCATGTGCTAGTTTGTGCTGACCATTTTTAAAAAAATGATTGCGATCCAAATGTCTGCTCTGTGGGATTTTTGAACTTCTAAAAGTCACCTAAGTACCAAAAGCAGTGTGTTCTGTAGCGTGGGGGGAGAGGCAAGCCCAAAACATCCTTGGGAAAAGAACATTGGTTATGTAAGCTTTTGGGTCTTGGCCTTTGCCATGTGACTCATTGATGGTTCTTGACAGGTCACTTATCTCTGCTGAATTTACCTCATAATATGCCCCAGCCCTACCTGGGTTCCAGAACATAGGGGACTTTTGTTGACTGTAAGCCTCTATGTTGATTTGACAGAGCCACAACTTAATTTCCTGAGCTTCACTGAGGAAACTTAAACTTTCTGTGCCACCAGGAACGGCGGGTGGAACTTCACAATACGTGGGGCAAGGGGGGTGGTACCCGCCTAATACGAGTGGTTATTCTTATGAGCAAGTCCCTGCTAAAGCGTTACCAGAGGGTGACATAGCCTTGCCTCTGGGAGATCATCTTTCTACAGCTACTAGGGAAAAGATTCTTAAGGGTAACTATGTGGACTCTATTATTTCGGGAAATGGATAAAAAAGAGAGGGAGGACCTGGAGGATAGGGAGAAGGAGCGCATTAAGAGGTGGAGGGTCGACAGGACCTGGGCCAATTGGCTCCCAGGTTTCCTCATATATGCAGGTGTGATTGTGCGTCACCAGCCGTGGAGGGCATCCGCACTTTTGCAATACTTGGATATTGTTTATAAACCCTTTATGGGTTACACTGGGCATGCATGGCTGGAATACGATGAGGGTTTCCGGGCGAGGGCGGCAACGAATACTGCCTTACGCAGGGACTGAGTTTCAAATGACCTTTTAAAGAAATTGGGAAACAGTTGTGTTAATTTCAGTCTCTTGGGAGGGACCATGTGTGTGTTATACATGTGTGTCTAACATTGGAGGTGCAGTGGGGGGGGGTGTCTGTTTTTTAACAGAAACGGTGTAGGCAAGGGAAACGAAACCCTGCTGTCTGCCCTGCTTTCCTCTCCAGCCTTGCTGCTTTCAGTATTTGTCTTTTGGTCTCTGGCTCACTTCCAATAAACCTCTTCCACTTTAGAGGTAGACATGGGTATAAATGCGTGTGGATCCCATCCTGTCTAACTGGGTACTCAGCTCGTCACAAGAAGAAGTGCAGTCTGCCAAGCATTGGGAACATTAGAAACCATGGGGGTCATGGTGATCCAATCGGAATGAATGAATATCTGAAGTCCCCCAAGATGCAGAGCCTGGCAATGAACTGAGAGACTCAGGTATACAGAAGCAGAATGTTCATTGCAAGGTCAAACACTGATTGCATTTCCACAAAAGGTTGACAGCCACTGATGAATAGCTTGAAATTCACTGATGATACAATAGAGTCCATTAGCACAATCCTTCACAGTCAAGGTTGACTGAGACTGCTCCCCCACTGTTCCCACTCACTTCAGTGGGGCTTGCACAGGAGGAGAGGAGTTGCTAGCAGGTTGGGCCCCGCCTCCCTTTGAATGTTCCTGAGGTCAGGTGCTATTAGAGAATGCTCTGCATGTCCAAATATAGAGAGAGTCTGTGAGTGCATGTGTGTATGTATCTATGCACACCCGTTCATAATGGAATGCAAACTGAATGGCTGTGGGGTCGTCTCAAGTGATATCGATTTAATAATTGGTGTGGTCTCTGCATGATGCGCCATTCCAAATGATTTCATGTGATGTTTCGGTATTGTTTTTTTAGATTTACATTTACATAGGTTTTATTTATTTGCGAGGCCAATAAAATGGAAAAGAAAAACCCCAATAAACAGGATGGTGTTGTTTTCTGGGTAGCGCTGGTTGCTTCATCTCAGGGGCCACACCTGAGGAATCCTGAGGGAGGTCGGACATTTTTATGTATAACCAGCACGGGGTGGGGGTGGGTGAGGAGCTGGGGATTTTTCCCGCCTTGCTAGGCTGACGCCTGATTTCACTGAAGCAAAATTTGAAGCAAATGTGATGGTTCCTTCTTTGAAGAAAAATCGGAGGTAGAGGGTTTATTCTGAGCTGATATCCTCACAGCATAAGCAGCCGGTATATCACCCACCGACCCAACCCCGGTTAGGGTTGCCAGCCCCCAGGTGGTGGCTGGAGATCTCTGGCGATTACAACTGATCTCCAGGTGACAGATCAGTTCCCCTGGAGAAAATGGCTGCTTTGGAAGGTGGACTCTGTGGCATTATACTCCATTGAAGTCCCTTCTCTCCCCAAACCTCACCCTCCTCAGGCTCCACACCCAAAATCTCCAGGTATTTCCCAACCCGGAGCCGCCAACCCTACCCACGGAGCAAGTGCACACCAGAACATTTTCTAAACCAAATGGAAAAACTATGGGGGGGGGGCAATATTTATCTTCGCTTTTCTCTTTATTTTTAGAAACATCCTAGCTCCTTATTAAATCCCATCTGTTCAACTGCGCAAGAACGTGGTTTTTGCTGTACAGATTGTTTTCCTCACTACGAGATGGTCTACCTGTCTGTTCAAATAAACTCTGAGGATTTGTGATGGAAGCCGAAAGATCTGATAAGA